ATAAGATCGTAAACCCGTGAACATGAAACGAGATAAATGCGGGTTCAGGATCGGGACGCCAACACGAGGTGCAACAATGGCCGATTAATAAATTGGATGCTACACAGTTTAATAGTTCACAATCGTTCACAATAAGTTCGACAGGCTCGATCGTTACGCCGCCGGTTCGCGACGGGATGGTGGGTGTGCGCGTCACAAAACGTAACAAGTCGAGAGTTATTCGCAAATTCGACGGGGTCGAGTTGCGGGCAGAATATTAGCGCGCTGGTGTCTAGGGTACCACTGCCCCACGCTCCCGCGGAAGTCCGCGTATCGCAATTGTAGCGGATATCGATACGCGCGCCGCGTTTCAGTTTCAAGCTTTCTAGCGAAGTTAAATTACACACAGGTACTGGAGTTACCGATGTAGCATCACTGATGTTAGTTCGCATGATAATACATATGCGAACATTGCCGCCCGCCTTGCACGACATGGCGTGCAATAAGCTAATGTGTTCACCGGAGATGTGACTACCTCTTTTCACTAATTGCAAGTGGACGAAGCATCCTGATTTTCGAGATCCACCGGTAGCAATGCCAACTGGGTGATCGGTCTGGTTAATTCTGAGGAAGACGTTTTTACTGTAACTACGAACTAGGCCATCAGGGCCTGGGTGGCAATGGATGATACGGCCAAGATCCCATTTGGTGGGTGGCAAGTTTGGATTCCGAAGGAGGACGATTTGTCCGACTTGTATTGGGGCGGTCGGAACCAGCCATTTCGAACGATGTTGGCACGATTTTACGTAATCTTGCGACCACAGTCGCCAGAATCGTTCCAACATTTGCTGAATAGCTTGCCATCGTGACAAGCGATTTGTCGCAGTGTCTAAAAGCGGGGGCATCGGAAGCGCTGTAAGGGGCCCGCCGATTAGGAAGTGTGCGGGTGTCAATACATCCAGGCTCTCAATGTCATCATTGAGGGGAGCTAAGGGCCGAGAATTCATAGACGCTTCAATGCGACAGAGGAGCGTGGCGAGTTCTTCGTATGTAGGGGTACTTTTTCCCAAGACGCGTTTTAAGTGGTGCTTCATCACCTTCACTCCTGCCTCCCACAGACCTCCAAAATGAGGTGCTGCAGGAGGAATGAATTTCCACTCGATTCGGTCCTCCGCCACACGAGCACGCACTTCTTTATCTGTAATAGCCGCCTGGTAAGCGGCACGCATTTCCTTATCGGCGCCCTGAAAATTGGTGCCGCGATCACTGTGCATAGTACGGGGTAATCCACGACGCGAACAAAATCGGTCAAAAGCGGCGAGGAAGGCGGGCGTTGAACATGAGGTTACAATTTCCAGATGGACCGCTTTCGTCGCCATACACACAAAGAGCGCTATGTAGCCGGGTTGCGCTCGAGCTCCGCGGCCGCTCGCCATTCGAACCGCGACGGGGCCCGCGTAATCTATGCCGCATTCAACAAAAGCGCGGCTTGGCCGATGGACGCGAGTCGCAGGCAGAGAACCCATCAGTTGATTCGGCAACTCAGCGCGGATACGAGTGCAAGCAATGCACCGGTAGACAAGGGACTTAACCGATTTCCGCCCTTGAATGAGCCACACTGAATTCCGCAGCGTACTGAGTGTTAGCGAAATCCCGCCATGGAGACACCGACGATGTGCCTCACGGACCAAGATTTTTGCTACGTGACCCGAACCTATAATGATCGGATGTCTCGATGAGGGGTCGAGAGCGCTCAAGGACAGCCTACCACCAACGCGAATAAGACCATCACGTCCTAAAATTGGATTCAGTCGACGAAGAGCACTGTGACGTGGCAATGTGACGTTTACTGTCAGGCGACGAATGCCATCGGAACCTGGCTTAAGCCCCGAAAGGATACGCAATTCCTCGGGGAACTGCTGTTTTTGTACAATACTGAAGACGCGTGTCGAGGAGTCAGTAAGTGCATCTGCATCAGACCTGTCTGCGGTATCGGACTGATGATGACAGCGTTTTCTAACGTAATGTACCCATCGAAGAATTCTAGCAACAACTTGTATCAGCTTCGGCCATGATGAGAATCGTTCAAACATTTGACATTCTGCGACCGGGGATACATTTGTTTGCAACGATACGACCCTAGCTTTGGGATGCGCATCACTAACTACTGTCGGTGGGCAGGTGGGCCAATCCTCCGAGTCAAGGGCCAGCCAATGGGGGCCGCGCCACCATAAGTTTGATGCGCCAATATCAGCAGGTTTCACTCCACGGGAGGCGAGATCAGCCGGGTTGTCAGAACCGGGAACGTGGCGCCACGTAATATCGGGAAGCAACGAGTGAATCTCAGCAACACGATTGGCGACAAACGTTTTCCAATGGGATGATTGTTCGTTCAGCCAGTCAAGCACAATAGTGGCATCAGTCCAACAATGGATGTTGCAGCCTTGAAATGCGTTCAGTGACCGGAGTTTGGAAATGAGTCGAGCCAGTAACAGAGCTCCGCATAATTCCAAGCGAGGAACCGTGAGCTGCCTGGTGGGGGCGACTCGCGATTTGCTAGTGAGCAGCGTTGTTGTGACCATACCTGACTTGGACTCCACCCGGACATAGACAACGGATGCATACGCTTTGGTTGAAGCATCCGAAAACCCGTGCAACTCGTAACGTCGAGGTTCGGATGGTGTGCCAATCCATCGGGGGATCGTTACGTCATTTAATTTAGGCAAAGAGTCGTAGTAATCGCGCCATGATACTGCTAGGTTCTCCGGCAGAGGGGTATCCCAGGCGAGGTCCGATATCCAAAGCGTTTGCATGAATATTTTCGCCAGTATAATTACCGGAGACAGGAATCCTAGCGGATCAAATAAACGCGAAATAACAGATAAGACCTTTCGCTTCGTAGGAACCGGTATTTCCTGACGGGCCACCACGAACCTGTAGCAGTCAAGTGCGGGGAGCCACGTGATTCCAAGAATTTTGACGCTATCGTCAATTTCGATTGTTTTTCCAACTGCTAGTCCGTGGTTGTGTGGGTCAATATCGTACAATAATTCGGGTGCATTGCTCGCCCACTTTCTTAGCTCAAAGTGACCGCGGTTTAGAAGAGCAACTAATTGATCGCGTATTAATCGAATCTGTGGCACAGAATCGGCACCGAACAACGCATCGTCGATGTACATCGATGTCAAAAGAGCCCGCTTACCGAGGGGAAACGAGCCGCCTTCGTCATCCGCGAGTTGTTTGAGGACGCGTAACGCCAAAAACGGAGCACTGGCCGTTCCATATGTGACCGTGCGTAATTGATACTCGTTTATGGCTTCTGCGGGAGAACGTCGCCATAGAATTCTCTGCAAATCTATATCGCGAGTGTCGATTAATATTTGCCGATACATTTTGGCAATGTCAGCAGAATAAACAAACCGGTGGGCTCGCCATTGAGTATGCACAAGTGATAAATCGGACTGCAATTTTGGTCCAGTCATCTGTAGTTCGTTGAGAGATCTACCGTTTGTAGACACCGCAGACGCGTTAAAAACTATCCGAGTTTTTGTTGTAGAGCTCGAGGCCTTCACAATTGAGTGGTGGGGTAGATATACACATGGAGAATTGTGTTCCCGAGCAGGCGCCAGTCGCATATGACCGAGCTCCTCATACTCCGCGAGAAATTGCATATACGATTCGCGTTCGTCAGGACGCGAAGAAAGTCGCTTTTCTAATGAAAGTAAGCACCGTTGTGCGCGAGCTCGTGTGTCCCCTATATCGATAGGTGACGGTGATTTCAGAGGCAACCTAACGACGTATTGACCACCGGGAGTGCGACTGTGAGTTTTCCGGAAGTGCTCCTCACAGCGTACGTCTTCCTCAGATGCGGGAGACGACCTTGGAATTTCCTCAATTTCCCAAAATCGAGACATCAGACCACTCAAATCTTCCGCTATTTGCGTATGGTGCACATGTACTGGCGAGGTACTGTCTTCCATCGTTTGCGACTTAGTACGCCCAGACAGAACCCAACCGAATACAGTGTTCTGTGCCACCGGCTCGCCCATACGCCCTCTCCTGATACCGTCGCGAAGCATATACGGATGCAAGTCGGCTCCGATTATCGCGTGGATCGGAATATCGCTTGCTGGACATTCATCAGCCATTATAAGACCGTCGAGGTGTGGCCATGTGGACAGCGGATGACGGAACCGCGGGAGATATGTGGTGAGCGTATCTAGCACTAATGCGTCCGTCGAAAAGGCCGGAACGGTCGCCTTGATAGGGGTAATCGTGATGGGCACAGTTCTTTTAACCGTACTCGTAATACCGCCGCCGATTCCGCTCACCGATGCATTCGCCGAGTACGATCGCGCTTGTAGTGCATTCGCAACGTCGCGCGTAATGAACGAATGCGTGGAGCCTGGGTCGAGCAGGGCCCGGAGCTTCACCGTTCTCTTCGATGACGCGGTTACCATGATCCATGCAGTTGCCAATACAACGTGTGCCGATTGCGGTGTTGCCACCAGGTGCGACTGCACAAGATTTGTATCCACGCGTGGCTCGGATGCACTCGAGGTACTGGCACTTGCTTCGGATACGGGAAGCGTCTCTGTGAGCGCCTTGTTCGAATTCGTTCCGCGATGCAACAGCGTATGATGTCGAGAATTACATTGAAAACACGACCGTTTACTCGGACACGATTTTTGTTGATGCCCGGAGCAGAGGCAATTGAGACATACTTGAATCTGTTTTGCAACGTCCCACCGATTGGAGACGGGCTTCGATATAAACCTTTTACATCGATAGAGCGAGTGTGATTCTCCGCAAACGGGACATTTCACGGCTGTTGCATTGGAAAGATGCGATTGCGCTTTCGATGTGCTCGGGTTCTGAACCGCCGAACTCGAAGACGACTTTGATTTGCTTATAATTATACTAGACGCTTCTAAGGCGCGAATGCGTGAAGTTAAAAAACTTTCGAAATTAGCAAACGTGGGAAAGTCGGAATTTTCGTTAAATGTCAATTCCCAAGCTTCGCGCGCTTCTCGATCTACGCGTTGTGTAAGAAGAAACACAAGAATATCATCCTGCACCGGATGTTTCATTAACTTTAAAGCCTCAATGCTTTCTTTGGCAGTATCGAGGAGCTTGCGTAGCTCAGAAGGAGAATTTTCGCGTGAGACCGATTTCAACGCAAATAAATCGGCTAAATGTAAATTAACCAATCGGCGTTCATTCGCGTAGCGTTCAGTTAATAATTTCCACGCGATAGGGAAATTCGCTGCAGTAGTTTGCACGTTTCTGAGCAATTGTGAAGCCTCGCCGTCGAGGCACGACTTTAGGTAATGCAACCGTTGTAAATTATCGAACGACGGATCGTCAATAAACATTGATTTATAATAATCGCGAAATTCTTCCCAATTTTTATAATTGCCGGCAAATCGCGGCAAAATCATGCGTGGTATTTGCGCAATACGGCGAATTGGAGAAGCGTTGACCGTCGTCTCTGCATGCTGGAACTCTGGGGCGGGAGGTTGCCGGTCGAGGTGGTCCGAAAATGAATTGTTTAAACGCACCAACAGTGTCGAGGTAAACTTCTTCGTAAGTGGCAAATTCTTGATCCTAGTAGTACTTATCTGGTGCCATCATTTCATTCCTATTGTAGGCAGATAATTCCACGTCAAGTGAGACGCATTTTGCCCAAATTGACTGCACATGCTCGAGCCTGGCTCCGACCTTTGCAGAATTAACCTTATGTAAATCTCCGGCAACCATATCCGCCGCTCGTTTGATAGCCGCAAATTGTAATCGTTGCTCTCTTAACAAAGCATCAAAGTGTACGCCGTCGTCCTCGTGCTCAGACATGTTGACGTATATATCGATTTAGTCCGTAGAGGTATGAAATCGTCGTGGAAAGAGCCGTCGCAGACCCGCAGAGGGGGTACTGACGCTTGAAACTATGCGTCGACTGAAACGCTGCCGCGTCTTGAAACCAACTCGTAAAGGTAGGAGAACACCGACGCGCAAGGCTACTGCGTGCCTTACCGATGTCGACTGTATATGTATCGTGGGGCCTCCAGTGGGAGGGATACACGTGCCGTCACCAATTAAATGTTGCTGCGTGGGGAACCGATACGACCGAATCCTGTCGAAGATTGCCGTACAACACTTAGACGTTCGGAACTCGAAAGTTATTTTTTCCGAATGAAAAAATAAAATTATATTGTGTCTATGATTTTTCACTCGCGAAGAATCCCGATCCTGGCAGGATCGCCAAATGTTTCGGGTCGGGCGACGATTATCGATAAGATCGTAAACCCGTGAAAATGAAACGAAATAAATGCGGGTTCAGGATCGGGACGCCAACACGAGGTGCAACAATGGTCCACTAGTAATTTGGATGCAACACATTTTAATAGTTCACAATAATTTTGATACAGGCTCGATCGCTACGTTTTAGGTTCGCGACGGGATGGTGGGTATGCGCGTCACAAAACGTAAAAAAGTCGAAAATTATTCGAAGATTCGACGGCTGTTGCGGGCAGAATATTTGCGCGTTGGTGTCTATTGTACAACTGTCGCACGCCCGGGCGGAAGTTCGCGTATCGCAAATGTGGATATCGATACGCGCGCCGCGTATCAGTCTAGAGCTTTCTAGCGAAGTTAAATTACAAACAGTTAATGGAGTTACCGACGTAGCATCACTGCTGTTAGTTCGCATGGTAATACATATGCGAACATGGAACATATATTATTTCAATGTCATAAAATGTAATTATGATATCTATATTGAAGTAAATGAGAGACAGTAAGTTTATTCTATTTTTATAAAATTTTGATTATACATTTTATACGTTATGTATTGGGTGGTCCGGAAAGTCCGTGCGGATTTTTTCATTAATTTTTCAAAAGTTTTTTTATTTGTTGCGAAATTTTCGTTACGATTATATCATTCGCTAGAGCAAAGTTTCAGCTTTAAGAATCTGTTTTTTAAATTGCGATATGATGATTTTTATCGGAGTTATGAGCAATCGAAATCAGAATGCTTCTTTACTTAACTCGCGAATAACTCAGAAACAAAAAATTATAGGAACATTTTTAAAAAATGATTTTGTAGGGAAAGCTTTAAGTTTTCACGATGGGTAGTCGAAAATTTTCGTAAATTTTTTTTGGGCACGTGAGAGACCCCCAAAGTGAAAAGAAAATTTTTTATCTTTTTCAGCTCGTAGTTTTTGGTATGTAAAAATTATCAAACTCATATAAATTTAAAAAATGTGATAAGCTTTTAAAAGTAGAGATTTCAAACTTTAAAACTCTTTTTTTAAATTTAAATTTCGTTCATTTTTGACGAAGGTATCGTATATACAATTTTTCATTGTAAAATCCGCACGGACTTTCCGGACCACCCAATATTTTTCTAAGGTCTATTTACATGTTTTCTATTTTCTACAGCGCCTCTTCTCATACATCTTCGAAACTACATATTCTTGCTATATATTTCATATCTTGATGAAGAGATATGTATTGACATTGACAGCGTATAAGTTCTTAGACATCGGAATCGTCCTGGAACCTACGTCTCATGTAGAAATTGCGATCAGCGACAATCGAGGCAATAATCTTGCTTCATGCTACGTAGAAGCCGTCTATCAAGAGACGTACAGATATTAGCAATTAATTAATGCAGTTAACTGTCCCATCAGCATCATCATCGATTCAAGATTTGAATGAACTTGTTAAACTATGTGATACGAAAAACATAAAATTGTCATTGTATGATAATGCTTGTATACGAAACCAACAACAGTACTTTTCTTATTTAAGCTCGAGCAATGTGTCGAGCATGCGTACTATAAACTAAGTCAATGTACGCACGGTGTTAGTAAAAAATTCAAATATTTTTAAGACAAAATTGTATTACTAGTAAACGCGATACGTTAATCTCTTCATCATTCCTTCTTCATATCTTTATGATAATAAATTACTTAATAAGAAAGCGTGTCCAGCTAATTGACTTATCATTAAAATATTATTAAAATTGTGCTCGTATCAGTCTATTGTAAAATCGCATCATAAAACTCATAAAATGAATACCATATCTTTTTAATAAAATCGTATGCGAGAGAATATATATGTGACAACAATTTGTGACTACTATACACCAAAATTGTATTAACAATAAATGTGATGTATTAAAAAATTGCGCGAAGTTTATGATGAAACTTCGATCAGGAGTGTGAATTAGTAATGTGCGCTTCAGATGAAATTATATACACTGCGTTACATTTGAAATAAGAAATAGATTAATGTTTTATAAAAATGTATAATATGATACTTAAGTATATTACTGAATTTTTAAAATTATTTTCAATCTCCTTTTTCCCTGACTGTATTCGACGGTTTAGAATTATATATAAAGAAGATGTGCAATTTTTTCTCAAATAAGTTAATCAAATTATTAAAATAAAAATTGAATAATAAGAAATTATAATTTTAATCTCTATTTCTTTCTGGGTTTTCTCCACAATCCAAAAATGTTTTTTTCGCTCCCTTCAATAACATCATTTACTTGTCAACTTTAAAATCTGCACATTCCTGTTTCTTCTTACCACGACTGGAAAAGAATCTTCTTTCTCTATACTTAGTTAGAATTAATTAATAATGATAGCTGTTCAGTAGTACAATAAGTGTTCGATAACTATTCAATAATAATTTATAATGGTTTGATATTAGGTCAATCAGAAAGTTCCGTCCACCTAGCTAGTAGCTCTAGCTAGAATTGTCGATAACTCATGTCTAAACCAAGCTTAATTTTTTTGTTTTACCATCTGTTAATAAAATTCAGTGTGTAAAAGTATACATTTGCATCAATAATATTACTTTTTACTGCATCGAAAATGTCGACATTTGAGCCAAATAAGTGTCATTTGCGCGAAGTGTTAATCTTTTGCTTCAAATGGAAGAAAATTGCATCTGAAGCTCATCGAATACTTGTAGAAGTTTATGGTGATAGTGCTCCTTCCGAAACATGCAGAGAATGATTTCGACGCCATAAAAGTGGTGATTTTGATGTGGAGGACAAAGAGCTTTCTGGACGGCATTTGAAGAATTGCAGGTATTGGTGGATAAAGACCTATATCAAACGCAAAAACAACTTGCAGAAGCATTAAATTGTGTTCAATCTGTTATTTCCGATCGTTTGAAAGCTTTGGGAAAGGTCTACAAGGAAGGATGGGTCCCATAAGAACTGAAGCCAAGAGACACTGAAAGACGAAAAACCATCTGCAAAATTCTTCTTACTAGGCAATAAAGAAAGGGATTTTTGCATCGAATTGTGACTGGCGATGAAAAGTGGATTTATTTCGATAACCCAAAACGCCGAAAAATCATTTGCGATCCAAGCCAACCATTGACCGTCAAAGCGGAATATCCACGGAAAGAAAACAATGCTCTGTATTTGATGGGATCAGAAAGATGTAGTGTACCACAAGCTGTTGAAATCTGGTCAAACAGTCACAGAGAATCACTAACGAGAACAAATTATCCGTTTGAACCGAGCATTGCACGGAAAACGACCAAAATATGAAACGAGACAGCATAAAGTGATTTTGTTTTATGATAACGCTCGGACTCACGTCACAAAACTTGTCAAGGAAACGTTAGAAGCACTTCGCTAGGAATTGCTACCCTATGCTTATTCACCAGACTGTGGCCTTTCTGACTATCACTTGTTTCGATCGATGGCACACGCACTTGCAGAGGAACACTTCAATTCTTCTGAATACGTCGAAAAATGGATCTCTGAGTAGATAGCCTCCAAAGATGAAACATTCTTTTGCCGCAGAATTTGCTTATTGCCCGAAAGATGGGAAAAAGTCATCGCTAATGATGGACAATATTTTAATTGAGATACTTTTTCATTTTGTTTTTTAAATAAAACCATACTTTTTGCAAAAAACGAACGGAACTTTCCGATTGACCTAATACGTCAAGACTGTCCTGAGAGGAGCGCAAGATAAAGAGAGCGGTATAGATCACGTATACGGCGTTTACCTATACAAGGATGGACTGATGTTTGGCAATAAACGTTTCGACGTAGATGACGCGGACAACATAATTATTGACGGCGTACGGTACGCCGGTATACCTGGGCTTCACAAATTGACTTTCAAAAGAATTCCCAACGATGCTCTCTACACGGAAAACGATATGCACAAGAGCATGCTGTTGGTGACGAACGCACACAAACACAAGTACTCGCAGGGTCGATTTTTGAGCAACAAGGGATACAAGTACAAACACGTAATCGCGCCGTTGATGTCGATCCAAGAAACAGAAGAAGAAATCTGGAAAGGGATTACTTCACGCAATAACATTGAACGACAACGCAATTGATTACGTGCACTGATCCCAATGAGCTAGATCGTTCACGATTGCTCGACATTTCGCACCGAGCAGGCAACAACGCTTACGACAGCGAGATGCTATTGATCATCGAGGAATTTCGCGAAGCCGGTCTTATTATAAATTAAATCGCGTATCCATAAAATGAGTCAGTTGAGTGACACCAGAGTGAAAAAAATATATTATTTTCTTGTACTCTATGTATTACATGTCGAATCCTAAAAAAGAAATCTGATGAAAAAAGAGAAAAAATTAGCTTAGAGAGATGTCGGCTCGTCGAGGAATTCCACGTTCCGGCGAGAAGAAATTTTCCGCGAAGACGCGGTCATAGTCTGGGAATACGACGATGTGGCAGGCTGATATCGTTGAGATACGCCCGTACTCGGGCTTCAATAGAGGCCACCACTACATATTCACCGTCATCGATATGTTGAGCCAGTACTCGTCGCCGTACTGCTCAA